CTCATTTATGAATCATAGGCGAGCAATGCGACAGTATGCATTTATTATAAATGATTTATACAGGGAACGGTCAATACAAGTTGTTTTATTTTATTTGAGTTATTTATCTTAACAATATGACATTTTAAATACTAAAACTAAAATTTTAATGTATTTTATGTAAAAAAACAACTATTATTTGACATTTTTGTCGTTTATTTTAACGCTGTAAACCAAGAACATTTTTAATGACAGCTTTAACACTGCCATATGCGACAAGCTTAAGAGCATTTTTGAATGCTTGATCTTTCATTAAACGTCGTATATCAGGTCCATTTAATATTCCTGCAAAATTAAAGTAGTAGTTATATCTCATAAAATTTTGTAATGAAATATTGCGTTGGTTTTTCTTGGGCGTGAAGGTACCGCAACAAAAACAAAACAAATTTACAACGACGACATAAATGTTCGTCTCTTTTCTCTTTCTCTGCTACTTCCAGGCCCGTTCCTGGCGAGCGTGCAGTGCGTGCACGCACGCAGGCGCAACATTTCGGGGGCGCAAAATCAAAGAGTCAATCAGTACTTTGTAACGATAAACTTTCTTGCATATGATACTTAAACATACATTGGATAAAGGTTTCTGCCTTTTTTGCGTCGGCCGCTCTTTTTTTCGGTCGCTATAGCGATATAAAGCGATATAAAGCGCCTTTTGCCGCTTTGATATTGGCTGCTTATTCTGTTTTGATATGAGGATCAAAATAAAAGGAGAGAAATGGTCATATTATCTTTAGTATTTGTTTGATAGTTGCAGTTGACGGTAGAAAAGTTTAACAGTAGTAACTCTCTAAAATAGAATTAGTCAAAAATGACTAATTCAATAATTGACCAATTATAATAATTATTAGTCTAATTGCAATAGCGAAAAAGCAGCGACTAATAATAATTATTAATAATTATTATTGTCAATAGTAATTTGTATCCCGGATATTTAGCAGTCAACTCCTATGTAAAATTGTCCGCTGAATCCGAAAATGTCGTCAAAACTTATAAAAGTAGAACGTTTTTGAGATTTAGTAAATTTTCCATATATTGACTATATCTTAAAAACTGCTTTACTTTTATAATTTTTGACGGTATTTTCGGATTCAGGGGACAATTTTACATAATAATAAGCTGTTAAATGCCCGGGATACAAATTGCTGTGGACTAAAGTTATTAGTGACTACTTTGAAAACTAGTCATTTTTAGAAAGTACGTCACTAAAAAGCAGTTGTAGTTATTATATTGTTTAGATCGTTTTTTTTGTTTTCTTTAGAGTATTTTTATCACTGACTATTTCCCTCGTCTTAATTTCCACCAATCACAAACGCGCAATTTTGAACTACAAATGGTTTCTAGGTGGAAAAACTGTATGACAGCACCTGTCAGCAGTTTTTTTGAGTTTACCCGCGGCAAAACTTGACAGCTGTTGTCACCAAAAATTTCAATTTATATTTTAATTGTTAACTGTTACTCATGAAATAGTCTTGTCAAATACCATTCGGGCATCTAACTTTTCCTATAAAAAAAATCGTTAAAACACAATGCTAAGTAATATTTTTTAACAAAATGCATTCGTGCAGGTGCAAAAATCCTCGTCTTTGACTCGGATTTTTGTTACCACCAGCACTCATGCTTCTTGTTAAAATATTACTTAGCAACGTGTTTTTTCGATTTTTTTCGAAAAAATAGAGGCCCTTATGATATTACTTATTTGTTTGGTAATTTAATATAGTATATTAAAGTACAAGTTGCAGAAGGCCACATATTCTCGCACGAATTCGAAATTTGGCCTCGAGCGACGAAGGAGCGAGTGGACGAACGAATGAGTGCGAGAATAGCCTTCTGCAACGTGTGATTTATACTATTTTCTCGATTTTAACTTTTATTTAGGTTTTTTTAATTGATTTGTGGTCGTTGTTAGTTAGGGGATTTTTCTCGCAAAATGTCAGTTGGCAACACAAAATGACAATATTTGTTATCCTGCACAAGTACAACCTGAACTGCACTTTTACACATTAAACTTAAAATTTTGCATTAAAATGCATTGTTGGAGCAAACTTTATATTACAAAACAATAATAAAGGCTTCATTTTCAATAAAAGTAATGAATTTGAGGTTATTAATCAGCTTGACATTTTGGGGGTACCAATACTTAAAAACTAAATGTTACCAAAAATCGTTTAAGAATGAGCTTCATTCTTCAACGATTTTGCGTGCGAGAATATGACATTCTTACATAAAAATCGAGAATAGTATATTAAAGTACAAGTTGCAGAAGGCCACATATTCTCGCACGAATTCGAAATTTGGCCTCGAGCGACGAAGGAGCGAGTGGACGAACGAATGAGTGCGAGAATAGCCTTCTGCAACGTGTGATTTATACTATTTTCTCGATTTTAACTTTTATTTAGGTTTTTTTAATTGTTTTGTGGTCGTTGTTAATTAGGGGATTTTTCTCGCAAAATGGCAGTTGGCAACACAAAATGACAATATTTGTTATCCTGCACAAGTACAACCTGAACTGCACTTTTTTACATTAAACTTAAAATTTTGCATTAAAATGCATTGTTGGAGCAAACTTAATATTACAAAACAATAATAAAGGCTTCATTTTCAATAAAAGTAATGAATTTGAGGTTATTAATCAGTTTGACATTTTGGGGGTACCAATACTTAAAAACTAAATGTTACCAAAAATCGTTTAAGAATGAGCTTCATTCTTCAACGATTTTGCGTGCGAGAATATGACATTCTTACATAAAAATCGAGAAAATATTTTTTATCCTTAATTTAAGCGGTTTTTTTACATTTTCAATTACATATTGCCAATTTGTCGCAAAATATATATTTTTTAATTTTACGGCTTAAAATTCAAATATTTAATGTATTATATTTAAATATAAAAAGGGCGCACCAACGAATGCTGCACGCAGGCGCCAGACACCCCAGGAACGGGCCTGGCTACTTCCATTACCACTTCCATTCCCTGCTCCATTTTCATTTTTGGTTCTTAAAATCACTTTCAAGTAAAAATACAATTTAAAGTTTAAATTTTAAATGTCAATAATTAATGGATGCACTTTTATGTGCTTGAACGATACAGTAGATACGGCGCCTTTATACTTTAATTCGATATTAAATTTTGATAAGACTTAATAAATAAAATTCGAGATTGAATTTTTGGGTACTTTAGGCATGATGTGAATAAAAAATATCAAATAATAGTAATAATTTCAAAAAATGTTACATTATAATTTTAGTTTTGATATTTACTAAAGCACTTCTCTGCAGAAAAGTGCTTTATTAAATATCCCTTATATAATACTACTATAGGGTACGGCTATAATGGAACAAAAAAAAATATTTTTGACATTTATCTACCGATGACTTTGTATGGAGTCCCTGTATATTTTTGACAAAAAACGTCAAAAATATACTGAACATCCAGAATAGATTTAAGGCAAAATAATTTAATTAAAAATCAAAATATTAACAAGAAACTTACATTTTGAGATAATTGGGCAGATCATTTTATTACGCAATTATTTCGAATATTAGACGTCCTGGAACAAAACGAGTGGCATTTTTGAAATCAGCAGCCCAAAATTAGGTAATATAGGTGGGCGTTTTCAATGTTAGTAATTCGAACTATCATAGTGTTATTGGTAATGGTGCGTTATACTTTATCGATATAGTATTATTAAATCGATAAAGTAGAACCAGGGCCAGATTTAGGACAGGGCCAGCGGGGCCACGGCCCCAGGGCCCCCACCATTTAGGGGCCCCCACCAACGAATATGAAAAAAATTATCAAAAAAATAAAAAATTGGGTCGGTTATACCGCGCGAATTCTTTAATTTTTCGTAGATCTAACTATCACACTCAAAGTTTTGGCGCGCGAAGACGTTTTTATGTAGTTTATAGTCATAAGTTATGACTCAAAACAATTGCTCCTTTAGTGCTTTTCGTAACTTTTTTGTAAATACAGGCAAACAGTCGATTACTTATACCTAATCTAATATTAAAGTTAGTTTTTGTCCCAGATTTTTATTGGTACATTGGAGTGTTGTGGAATATTTTCCGGTGTTTCCGAAATAATGTTTCGTTCTTTTCTTTGGACAAAACATTGTTTTATTATTGATGATTTTGTATGAAAAACAGACAAATAATACGACTTTTGATGCACTTTTTTTCAGTTTGCGAAAAGTATTAAAAATACAAACAAAACATACATCAATTTATATTTTACTTGAGTAAAATATATATAAGGTTATGTTCGTATTATTCAAAATATATAAAATATAAAGTATATACAAACACTTTCATTCACAATTCTATTCTACTATCTACGTTTTTATAGTTTTGCATACGAATTTATAATTTCTCAGACTTGGGTAAAATGTATATGGTTATGTTCGTATTATTCAAAATATACAGGGTGATTCAGACTTGTGGTGACAAAAGCTCAGTGGAAATTCATCAAAATATGAAAAAAAGTTCCTATAAACACGTGTCCGAAAAAGCTTCATTATCGAGATATAGGGTTTTTCTTTTAAAAAAAATTAGTTTTGGCCGATTTTATTAAAAATTTATATGGTTTATTAAATAATAAATGATTCAAGGATAATAAAAAATCACGTAAAGTTCCTCTAGCTTAAAAGTTTACCATGAGTTTTAAAGTGTCAATTTTTTTTAGAAATATTGAGGGCCCCCACCAAATGTCGGCCCCAGGGCCCCAAAACTCTTAATCCGGCCCTGAGTAGAACGTACGCTATACTATAAAGAGCAAAAAATCGCGATTACGAATGAAATATTACAACCGTCAGTGGTGTAGTAGTCAGCGCTTCGGACTACAGTCAACCACATCACCATACAATGTTTCTTTCTATATTATGTATACTTATGTACAAATTTGATTTTTTTGCTGTATGCGGATAAAATTACATGTTTACCAAAATTACATGAAGCAATTTCTTATAATGGCTTTTGTTGCAGGTCCAATATCAAGTTCGTTTGTAAACCGATGGGGATGCCGACCAGTGACAATAGCCGGTGCCATTTTGGCGACAGTTTGTATGATAATATCGGTTTATGCGCAAAACGTTATCACTTTATGCATAACAATCGGTATCGGCACAGGGGTCGGATTCGGCCTCATTTATTTACCGGCCATCGTAAGTGTCACGACGTATTTCGAGAAAAAGAGGTCGATGGCAACGGGAATCGCCGTCTGCGGGTCCGGACTGGGGACCTTTATATTCGCACCGTTCATCACGATACTCAAGGAGGAGTACGGCTGGAGAGGTTCGCTTCTCATCATCTCCAGTCTGGTGCTGAATTGCGTAATATTTGGAGCCTTCTTCAGACCTCTGGAACCGGAAAAACTGGACGACGACAAATCGGCGATAACACTTAAAGCGTCCGCCGCTCACTCAGACATACACATCTCCGAGCACAATTTATACAAGCTAGACGTAAAAACGAACGGCGACGGTAGCCAGATACACAGACCCAGAAGCATGGGTCATTTCTCGATACCGCGAGGCACCAGACTCGAGCAGAACGGAAACATTCCCGTAATCAAGCAGGAAAGCGATTTCGCACGGTTGGCTCTGAGTCAACCGATGCTGACGCAATCGGAAAGCAACTACTACCGAAACAATAGCGCGAAGCAGCACTACGGAAGCCAAAACTTCCGCCGACACGGCCCCATCGACCGGATCGACGTCTTCTACCAGGGCAGTCTGATGAACATTCCCTCTTACAGGTCCAGACTGGACCTGAAGCACGGCGAGGACGAGCTGTTCGTGCAACGCAGGCCGTCCACGTACAGCTACCGCAGACGGGCCGCTGTGGAAGAAGAAGACGAGCCTGCGACCACCGTCTGCGGCTTCGTACCCTGCTCGCAGGAAACCAAGGACACCCTCAACGAGATGCTCGATTTTTCCTTATTTCAGGACGTCATTTTTATTTTGTTCACGGTGAGCAACTTCCTGACCAGCGTCGGGTTCAACATTCCTTATGTGTACATAGTGCCTCGCGCTAAAGTGTTGGGTCTCACCGATAACGAGGGGGGTGCGTTGCTATCTATCATCGGGGCGGCCAACACACTCGGCAGGATTGTACTGGGTTATATATCGGACAAACCCTGGGTTAGCAGGTTGCAAATCTACAATTGGTGTCTAACTATATGCGGAATATGTAAGTATTTAACATTTACTACTAGAAAAAGGTTAATAAGTTTTATCAGAACTGTATTGAATCTTGCTTTGTGTACTATAGTTAAAGTAAAACTCAATGGTGTCTTACAAGATACATTATTTTGATTTTATATATTCAACAGAGAAGTATCACCTTCGGATTCCTATTCTCTTCAGAGACATAGAAACTCAAGCTTTTCGAATTTTACTGGCAATGATGTCCCCGAGAATTATACAAAAACAGCGCAATGCAATATCGCAACGGTTTCGACCTCTCTTTACTATACCAAGTTATAGACAATGGAGTCTATCTAAGACTGTTCTAGTCAATATTTCTGAAAGTATAAAAAGAGGGTGTAATTCAATATTGCAACAAGTTTTGATCTTTTGATGGATGCAAGTATTTTGAATTTTCTCATTTCTGCATATGATTTTGTTGAAAACAGTTCCTTTCTTTGGTTCCTTTGTCTGATTTTTATTAACCGTAAGAACTCTGGTATGTAAAGCACAGAGGATATGATGTAAAGAATATTTATGTATTATATAAAGTACCGGTACTTTATAGGCCTATATTTGTATTAAAAATGTCAGAGGTTATGTTGAAAAAATGATCGATATGCTATTAAACTTTAATAATTTAGTAATGTGTCTGTTGGTAGACCCTGCACTCTCCACTGGTAGTTTTAATAAAACGGTTTTATGTTAGTTTCAGCAGTATTTAAATCTGGTTGATTAAAAAGTACACACACAGCAAACGGAAAAATATAGAACTGTTTGAATACTAAATCTTAAAGTTTTATCAGAACTGTATTGAATCGTGCTTTGTTTTTATATTTTTCGGCTCTATACCTATGCCCGACTATATTTAAAGTCAAACTCAATGGTTTCTAACAAGATACATTATTTTGATTTTCTGTATTCAACAGAGAGGTAAAAACTCGACCCTGTCGAATGGTGCAGTCATTTAATCTCTAGAAATTATTGAAAAAGGGTTCAGTTCAATGGTGCAGCAACTTCGGATTCCTATTCTCTTCGAATTTTACTGGCAATGATTTTCGTTAATGTCCCCGAGAATTATACAAAAACAGCGCAATGCAATATCGCAACGGTTTCGACTTCTCTTTACTCTACCAAGTCATAAAAACTTGAGTCTTTCTAATACTGTTCTAGTCAATATTTCTGAAAGTATAAAAAGAGGGTGTAATTCAATATTGCAACAAGTTTTGATCTTTCGATGGATGCAAGTATTTTGAATTTTCTCATTTCTGCATATGATTTTGTTGAAAACAGTTCCTTTCTTTGGTTCCTTTGTCTGATTTTTATTAACCGTAAGAACTCTGGTATGTAAAGCACAGAGGATATGATGTAAAGAATATTTATGTATTAAATAAAGTACCTATATTTGTATTAAAAATGTCAGAGGTTATGTTGAAAAAATGATCGATATGCCATTAAACTTAGTACTGAGGACCTCAGTCTGAGGTCTGTTGGTAGACCCTGCATATTTCCACTGGTATTTTTATGTTAGTGCAGCAATATTTAAATCTGGTTTATCAAAAAGTACACACCAGTGCAGATCTAGATTATTGTAGCATCTACGAACAAATGAATTAATGGCCCATTGGCAATTATTCCTGTAGGAAAAATATTCAACAAAGCTTTGTGATGGGCACGGGGTGGGGTACCCCAAACTCATGAAAACGGCAGTAACCCAAGGAGATTTTAAGAATCTCGCGAATTCAAACATAACCTCAACAACTTCGAAATGTTGTCAAGTGTGGCCAAAAACGGTGTGATCATCTAGTCTAGTCGGAAAGGTACCTACGTTGTGTTATTTGAATTCGCTTCTAGATAGGAAAGATGCCAGAGAGAGGAAATTAGATTAAGTAATAAAAACACACAAATAATGGTTGTCAGCTTTATATTCATTGTATTTGAATATTAGTTTTAACAATAGGTTTTATCAAACGTTTTGAGATTATTAGTTTCAGTTAGCTTTTTGTCATTTTAGGGGATTTAGATTTACTAGTTTAATACAGTAGATTTATAGAAATATATATATATTTCCAAGTTTATAGGTTAAAGGGTTTTATTTCCAAAGTTTAATAAATGCAGATTCATAAGTATTATCAAGCCAAATGTAATATCAACTAAATTTATAATAATGATCATCAGTAACAATATATCAACTCATTTTGTATAAACAGTCGAAACAGAGATATAATTCAATTTTATACAGCAAAACCTTCATTCTTATTAATCCTATTACATGGCACAATAAATAGAGAAACAGTAATAATATACAATATAGTAATCATAGAAAATATAGTAAGAATAATAATAATAATAATAGAGCAGATAATAATATCAACGTAATAATCAAAATAAGGCATATAGTAATAATAAAATGTATGTAATAGTAAAAATAAGGAATATTAAGGTTTAATTTATTTAATATAATGATATCGACTTATGATACAAAATAGACGAATTATAACGTCTCCTGAACTAGATAAATAAATATCAGAGGTAAAACCTTAGGAATCCACATTAAAATAATAAACTTGGCCAAAGCTTTACAACCATTTTAAATAATTAATTAAATTGATTAATATAATATTTATATCATACCTTGTAAAGGGTGTATCAATAAGAGCGCAAGATTTGAATTTCGCCTCAGTTTGGCAACCATGATGTCACATGATTAATAACATGACAGATTGATAGGAGACAGATGGGAGTTAGTAAATATGGAGCATTTCACGATAAAACAACCCGTCCTGATTGTTAAACACTATTATCAAAATTATGAAAGTTTGATTGCCACGATTCGTAAAGGACGTCCAATATTTTTTCGAAATAATGTTCCTAATTCATCTACTGTGAAAAGAATAATCGAAAAATTTGAAAGCACTGCTTTGGTTAGTGATGTGAAAACACGACACGAGCTCGTAGAGGTCGTTCAGAACAAAATATCGCAGCAGTTCGCGAGAGTGTGGCCGAGAGTTCAGAGACGTCGATTTGCCTTCGTGCACAAGAATTGGACATTACAAAAGCCACTCTTCAGCGAATTCTTACTTAAGATTTGCATCTTCATGCCTACAAAGTCCAATTGACTCAACAACTCCAGCCAAAAGACCATGAACAGCAAGAGTTCACCAATTGGATCCTTGAGCAGCAAGAAGTGAATGCATTTTCAGTGGCCCATTTTCACCACTATTTAACACCCTTGGACTTTTGGCTGTGGAGTTATTTGAAGTCCCAAGTTTATGCCAACAAGCCTGCCACCATTGAAGCCTTAAAAGCAGAAATTAGACGCTTTATCAACGAAATACCACCACATGTATTCAATAATGTTATTGCAAATTTTGCCAAAAGAATACGCTTGTGCCAATTAAGCCGTAGTGGCCATTTACCAGATGTGTTATTTTATACATAATTTCCAAATGTGTACTTTATAAATCAATAAATATTTCAATGCTTTAATACTTAAAACCATGTTTTACTAAACTTTGTAATCTTGCGCTCTTATTGATACACCCTTTATGTTTATATTCAAAAATACCTACAATTTCTTGTTTAAAAAAATCATCAATATCTATATTTTTCAAATTCATTCGCCTACTATCATCAACAACCTTGTTCCTCTAGGAGACCATTTTTTATCACCAACTTTACTTTTAATACTGGTTTGGTAATATCCCAAACTTGCTGTACTCAAACTAACAATCTTTCACGCTAAGACTCGATATAATTTAAATAAACTTTTAAACGTTTTTTAACACAGCTGACTGATTGAAATTAATTTGTCAATGTCATCTCATTCTGTCAATATGACTTTAACTAAGTGCGTATAGTTGGTTGTCACCTTCTTCCTTACGAGTATCAAAAGTCGGGCCAACACAGCTTATTTAATTAAAAAAATGAAAAAAATCACAATCATGTCGTATATAGTTTTTTCCAAGCCTAAAGTAATTTTCATATTAATACTAGTTCAAAAGTCAAATTACGACCTCTATACTTTGGAGAGTATTGAAACGCTCGACTGAAGAATACAACTCTATTTGCTGTGTATCTACAATATTAAGTAATAAAGGTAAAAAGTCAATTTTTATTGTTTTTAACATCCTTTATAACTTAATATTGGAGATACTGCATTTTTGCTTTAAGTAGGGCAAAATATACAGGGTGGGTCAATGAAAAGTTTCCACCCCGGTTTTGAAAGGTGTAAAACGTCGATGTTTGATTTTGGGGCGACAATTTAATTTTATATTTTCAACCCCTCAAACTACCCACGTTTTATAGTTACTCCCAACATTTTTAATGGGAAGGGGCTTCAAGTAATGCCTCATTTTGAAGTTCTTCTTGCCATGATTAAAACCTCCAAGTTTGAAGTCGCTGCTTTCATCCCCGTTGATATGACAGCTTGTAAATGTAAAAGGGGAGTCATCATATACAGTTCTATATTTTTCCGTTTGCTGTGATCCAGGATGTCCTTGGACTTTTTTTGGATGTATGCCAAAAGTATTCGGCATATGCGGGCCGGCTAAATGGCGACTCAATAAAGTGATTTTAAATAAAATAGATTTAATTTTGCAAGATCAATACCGGCACATAACCTATAAATTTGTAGGGTAAAGACATACCAATAATTAAAGGGTCAAGTGGATGAAGGGGTAAGGGGTAAACCAAGTTTATTTTTATTTACAATGACAACATTTGTTGTTTAGAGGCATCATGTTACATTTAAATTAGAAAAGAACAGACAACTAAAATATTTTATTTATTGCAATTACAATATTTTTTGTCCTTTATTATTCAAAATGATACTTAACTCCTTCATCAACTTGCCCCTTCGTGTGTTTGGAAGTTATATATCCCCAGTTTGGAACAAGAGAATCAAAATTGCAAATTTTTGTTGGTTGTTATTGTTAGTATTTCATATTTTAATTAACATAATTTTTACACTATAGGGTATTTCCATTGTAACGGGTGCGACACTAAAACTGCGTTTTTTCGTGATAAAAGTATACAAAATTAGGTATTTAACTCAAACAAAATGTCAATAAAAACTTTTATAACGTCATGAATCGCGTAACGGGCGCGACCTTAGAAAATCGGGAAATGCGACCAAGTTGGCTTCTAAAGTTGATACTGTAAAATTTTGGTTACAAACGAGTTTTTTTGAGAATAAAGCTGGAAAATGTTAAATGTAAACATTTCAATTCAGTAAAAATTGTCAAACAAATAAGTCCTCTAAATTTAAACAGCATTTAGCATTAGCGGTGATTAAGAATTCTTTAAAGTCTCCACTCAGCGGTAAATTCCCATTATATTATGTAATTCGTAGGTATATTTTGTTGTTTAAAATGCAGTTGTCGGCGTTTTTTAGAGAACTCAAATATTTAAATGGTTAATTTTAAGGTTATGTTTGTGCAAAAATTATTTTTTACTAATGCTGGATTTATGCAGCACAAATTAACATTAATTTAACATTAAGATTAAGATTAACATTAACATTAAGAAGTTAAATGAACGTAATCCATTGGAAGCTTTTATGCAACACATTAACATTAACTTTAGCATTAAGTTAACATTAAGAGATGGCCAACTTTTATCTTCTTAATGATAATGTTAATTTTTATTCCTCCTGCGCAGGTTTGCGGCGCAATTTTTAAATAAACCGTGCCAGTAATGCCAACATACCCGAAATTAAAATGAAACTTATTGCTGAATGATTGATTTTTTATTCAATGATTGTGTTCTTTGGTTTATTGTTTGACGTGGAGTTTATAGTTTTCATTTATTTTACTTAACAGATGCTAAAACGGGATTAAAACAAAATTCAAACAAACCAAAAATGTCAGATGTCAAAAGTACTTTAACTTATACGCATGCTTAATTTGCTACTAATTTTGCTGGATAAATACCCTTCTATTAATGTTAAATTAATCTTAATCTTAATGTTAAAGTTAATCTTAATGTTAATTTGTGCTGCATAAATCCACCATAATTTCTTAAAAATGTCCAAACCTAAATATTGGGTAAAGTTATCATTAGTTAATTCTGCACCAACAAATGTACTTACCGAATTGGATCCTTTGGCAAAACATGAAAATGCAACGGTTTAGTTCTTGAATTTTATTTACAATTAAAAACACAATAATTCACCATGATCCCTTAGATAAAATAAACACACTAACTTAACTATATAAGCATTTAAGCGTTGAGTTTCTTAATCAATGCTATTAAAGAATAATCAATCGAAATCGGGGTTTTAGTTTTTTCCTTGCAACGTAAAACACAAATAACGTGGGCGATTTAGCTGTGCAATTGAACAAAATTTGTCGAGTAAGACTTCTGCCTTCCTCTCTTTTGTGAAAAAAACTACCTATTTATTTAAAAATGATACAGTTCGTATGCTTTAAATGTTTTGTTGCCAATTTTATTATTATTATTAATTCTTAAATTCACGCAATGCTTTTGAAGTCCACATTTTATCGTTAGATTCTTAGCATCACAATATACGAATATTTTAAAGTTATAAATTACGTCGCAATTAAACTATTTGACTTCAGATATAGGTAGTTAACAATTGTTATTTTGTTAAATAACACATTTGATTTTTTGTCAAGGTGGGGTAAGGTTTAGCGGAAATACTCTATAGTGTTTCTCATAACACCAAAACATTTTATATGAATATAAAAAAACCTATTTTTTTATGTTTTGAGATTCAACCCTCTTGTTTCAAAGATTTTTATGTTGTCTTTATTATGAGATTTTAACCATAAAACACAAAATATTAACTTATATATTTTTATTATTTTAGCTACCGCTCTTAGTGCCTTCTGTAACAGTTTCTATACCCTGGCACTGTATTGTTCAGTATTCGGATTTACAATTGGCGCATACGTTGGGCTTACGTCCGTTATCCTCGTCGACTTATTAGGACTTGATAAACTGACGAACGCTTTTGGCCTTCTCTTACTCTTCCAAGGAATCGCGTCTTTATTAGGCCCACCGCTAGCAGGTAAATTTAAAAAATATTTAGTTAAGTTTAAAAAACGATTTTTTATAATTTATATAAGCTCAAAACTATTCCCTTGTGGAAATTTTTCTCTGAAAAAGTTTTAAAAGTCTGAATAATACTTATTAGGTCGAAAAAAGTCAGAATAAGACTTATTAAGTCGGAAAAAGTCTGAATAAGTCTTAGTAAGTCAGACTAATAGCAAGATTTTGGGAGTCTTCCAGAAGATATACATACAAAAAAGAAAAATCCTTTTTATTTCAAAGAATAACGTGTACTCAGTCACACCTCCATTTACTCTTCCAGAAGAGTTAATAAGACTTTATAAGACTTTTAGCCGAGAAATAGTAGGAACCTAACTATAGCGATTAAAATAAATATCCGGAATTATTCCGAGAGGTTGTATTTGATTATTACAAAATAAAACACAAAGAAAAGTATTTATCTCCACGCGGTCTATAATTTAAACTTTATTGTTGTCAACATTGGATAAAGAAATACCTTGTTATGGCCTAGGCCAATAAAATTTTTTATGAGGCAAGTAATTAGTTCGCTAGGGGTATTGTTTTGACAAATTAATCCTTTTCTAAGAAATTATAATTATAACGTACTAAACTGGTTTAATTTATTTATAATAAGCACTAATTTGTTTGATTTACTGTTAATGTTAATATTTTTCATTAAATTATTGTAAAATTAAATATGAATAATAAAACAAAAAGTGAGGTTAGGCAACCAAGAAAACGCACGATTCTTTTTCTACGATTTAAATTATCTTTAAGTTTTAATTTGCTTTAAGTTTTCAGTGAAATTAAATGTTAAACACAGCTTAAACATTCCAAACTACCTATTTTTTAAATAAAAATCCAAACAAATTGAAATTAGATACCTACCTATTTATTAAACAATTAATTGAATTCAATGTAATAGCAAAAATCCATTTCTACTTAAATCACGTTGATAGGTATTGTCAAACTATTACTGCTTCTAAAAGCAATAATAATTATTGTACATTTAATGTAATCTTTAGCTAATAAATAAATGAGATTCTAAAAAAGTGAGGTTAGGCCGCTTTGATGTTGAATTAAATTGACCTATATAAAGTGCTTTGAAGATAAAATGTTGTATGCCATTCGGCCAAGAAGTGCCTTTTTGTGCTTCGCTCAAAAAGCCTTACTTCTTAACCTAATGACATAAATAACTATTATTAACATTTTGCCGGGGTGGTAATAAGCCAAGTTTATTGCATAATTACCTATAAAATAACATATGTGAGGTGTACCTAATAATTATAACAATTTTAATTTTTTACATACGATGCGCTTGACTTGCTTTTATTGTTGCCACTGTACTGTTTTATTTTAATAGTTTTTTTTTATACGCAAATATTCATCTAACTATTGTTCCAAACACTTTTTAGACACAATATCGATTTTCTCAACTGACCAATTAGAGCACAGCTGATCTGTCTTGTGATGGCATCCTCCCGCGTTTTCAAGATAGCTCTCCTGTCACTACTTACCAAGTGTTGCCTTTTGCAGGTATTTTACTCGGAAATCGGGTATTTTCGTCATGTTTGCGGGTAGAATTTTGAAGCGGGTAAAATCAAAATACTAACTGAAGATATTTTTAGTAAATAATATTGTATGTTTACTAATAATGCATAATTATTTTATTCTATATAGGATATCCTGTTACATTATTTACTTATAAAATTTTTTTAAATTAAATTAATTATTTTTTAAACAGGGCGAATGCGCTAGTAAATTTAAAATATAACTAGTTTTTTTAGTACCTATTTTGTAATTTTTGGTCGGGAACTTTTATGACATTCATCCGGCAACACTGTATAAAACACATGAACCAATGAAGGCAGCTCGAAGATCAACCATATTTGTTTTATGAGTTTTATAATCTGTGTATGAGTTCGACTGTCGACCATATAATGCCTATACATATAGTATAGTATAGCATATGCGTTGCGAAGAATTGTTATAGTTATTATACCTTATATATGTGGGTCATTTTCAAGAAACACCCGCTTTGCTTAAATTGACTTGGTTGGATTTTTATAAATGTTTAGAGTTTTGTTTACTTACATTTAAGACGGGCAGTGCACTTTTCAATTTTTTTTTACGTTTTTTTTTCAGAAAAATGTATTTAGCTAGCTTAATATGTATATCTCCACTGTGTTACCAATTTGAAATCCAAAATTTAATTCAATAAAAAAAAGTAAATATTTTGAAATAAAATGTACTTAGTTCACAAACTTTTGACTCCAATTTTTTATTAAAAATTGTATGCTTTTTTTAAATATTTCTTTTTGTTAAGTTACTTTTTAAAAGAAATAATTCCGATTCTTTGTTAAAAAAACAATACCACTAATATTTTCTTTTAGTCACTGTATTAGTGAGTTAAACTCTAATTTATAAACACGTATTACTACCCAGATAACCAGCGTCCTTCCGTTTGCCGGTCAGTTGCCTACTATTCGTTCTCTTGATATGGTAGCCGTTTGCTGTCAAGTGGGTGCCACCATTTGACTGTCTGTAGACAAAAATCTTTTCTAACAATATATTGTGTGCAATCCACCGGCAACCGACGGGAAACCTTTTGCTTATAATTATTGTGGACAACATAAGAGTTTATAGGCGGAAATGTTTCCTGACAACTTATAGTGTGCAACCCACCGGCAACACACGGGAAACCTTTTGCGTATACTGATTGTGGGCAACGGATAGGAAATGATTTACCTATTCAAATTCACTGAATTTGGTGGCAATTTGCCGATAACGAATTAGAAATTAAAATAAATTAATAAATGAAGCGTTGAGAACCAGAGTGGCCTTACCCACAAACATTTATTCTAAAATGGGGTTATAATTTTAGGACAATATATATATATATATATTTGGGTGCTTTTTTTAACAAAGTTTTTCATTTCCGAAAAATATATATATTTATATATATTGTCCTAAAATGATTGTAACATCATTTAAGAAAAAACATTTGTGGGTTAGGCCACTCTGGTTCCAAACGCTTCATTTACCTATTCATTTTAATTTCCGATACGTTATCGGCAAATTGCCACCAAATTCAGTAATGCCTCATTTATTGGTATTGTTATTTTAACAAGAGGGTTAGGCGTAAATTTTCATACTCGAATTTTTTCAAACGTCGTTTTATTACAAAAATACCTATATTCACAAAGAAATAAAATATTAAAATATTTATATACACAACAGAATAACCTTTTAAGCCGATAATTTATATAATAATAAATAATAATAATAATAATAAATGTTCTTTATTGAAAAAAATACATTTTTCAAAAGGCCATTGACTTTCGTCCTTCAGCCGGGAATAATAAATATATTTATTATTATATAAATTATCGGCTTCAAACAGGCGCAGCCTTATGGAATCTTCATTGTTTACGTTTGGATCTCGACGCTTAAGCCTGATTTATAGATTGCCTTTCTTCCTTCCTTCCTTCCGTAGAATATGAACAATACAAAAACCGTTGTGCTTTTTAAAGATTCCCATACGGGAATCTATAAATGGCACTACGATTTTCGTATTGTTCATCTTTTATGAGAGGAAGGAAGGAAGGAAGGAAGGAAATCTATAAATCATGCTTTAGCGGTAATACGTTGACGCTGTTTTGCGGCAAAACTTTTGCCACTCGCCGTTACCTCTCTTTGAAGTTCAACACGCGTTGGTGGATCAAAGTTTTTATTGGTACCCACAGCTCCTGCAATAAATATATGTTTAGCAATAAACATATGTTTAGTTTGTATAAAACATTATTTAACATACCAAAAATAGCCCTAACAAGACCAGGGTTGTAAAGGGGATGATTGCCTTGCTCATCCCCCCCCATGTATATTGCATATCTCGTCGGAGATAAACTTCCTGAACAGTTTATGAATGTGTAAAGGCCCCATAATCAATCTGAAAAATAAAAATAATTTATTAACGCTTGGCTTGACAATTTTTTCAGTCAGATTTTAATTAATAATTTGATAATTTTTTACACTATGGTAAATTTTGTCGTTTCTTGGGAAGCATTTGGTTCTATTAAAATATCCACTAAATGTGTTTATTCACGGCACTTTTTTGATTATCAAAAAATTAAAAAATGCCTAGCTGGTATTGTATACAAATATATTTAAGAGCGATAAAAATTGGTTCAAAAATGCAAATTTTACAAGGGCGGTAAGGTGTGCTTTATAAAAATTTGTTGTAGTATACTACAACAAATTTTTGTATACAAAAAAGATATTACATTAATTAATTAATTTAAAATTACCGCTATTATAATAGCTTCTGAAATTTTAAATAAATTAATGTTATTTGAATAAAAACCCTTATAAAATTATAATACTTCAAAGAAAAAACTACATCTTCAAAAAATCCTACATTTTTATAGCCTCTATTTAGGTACATGCCGAAAGAAGTTTCACTTCAATATAACAAATTATTTAAAAATTTAGTACTTCTTGGTTTCTTTTTTGTATTTTTTTTTATTTTCAAAGGATTTTTAGATTTTTCCATATGGATATAGGTACAGCTAAAGCTAATAGATAACTATTGCGTTCATAAAACATACCTGATAGATTTCTTGTTTATATTAATCAACACGTCGTACACACACTCGCAGAACAAATCATAAATTATAAAGAACAAATGGTGAGCAACGGTAGCGGGGACTCTCGCGCAAGCGCGGTTCTTTATTGTGGGAAATATGTTGGCCGTCCGTTGCACCTCTGTTGCATACAATTGTTGACTGGAATCTATTGAAAATAAGCGGCTATCTTGGGCGGAAACAAATGTCTTGCAGTTTTCATGCAACTGACCAACAAGGTATTTTAGGAAATGTGTTGCCCGTCGGTTACACCTCTGTTGAATACAACTCTTAATCAGAAATTATTGGAAATACGTGTCAAACTTGGGCCTAAACATTTTTCTTGCAGTTTGCATGCAACTGACGGGAAATGTTT